GGTCCACCTTATTTCCATTTGATCATCCATCTGTTTTGTACCAAATCAACCAATCAGAAATTACAAAATAGATGGATTACCAAATGGGGAAAAAAAAAGAAATGAGGTGATGGAACACATTGTAATATTTTAATTTTTTTAAGGAGACAATGTGAGAAAATTAATCATTTGAGAGGCACACTAAGAGGTTTTGTATCTTAATAGAGTTTTCCCAAAATTTATGGTGGCTTTCAGGAATAGAAACTAGAACAAAATCAGGGAAAGAAAAAAGGAAGGAAAAGGAGAAGGAGAAGGAGAAATAATAGAAGGAAAGAGAAGAAGAAAAAGAATAAAAAAGAGAAGGAGGAAGAGTGAAGAAGAAGAATCACACTAAGTCAATATTGCAAAGTACTCTATTGTGATGGGCATATATTGGTGGAAAGGAAGAAGGAGAATGATAAGAATAGGAAGGAAGAAAAGTAGAAGAAGGAAGGGGAGGGAGAAGGAAGAAGGAGACGCAGTAGAGAAGTCAGTCGAAAGATCGAAATTTATGGTCAATTTCATTTTGCCCCCTAAAAAAAAAAAGTTGCAATATGGTTCACCATTTTATTTTTGTGGTTTGGCCTTCTGTTTTGTACCAAATCAACTGATCAGGAATCACAAAGCAAATGGACGACCAAATGGAAAAAAAAAATAAAAGAAATAAGATGGTGGATCACATTGCAATATTCTATCTTTTTAAGGGGGCAATGTGAGAAAATCATTTGGGAGGCAAACTGAGATTTTTTGTATCTTTAGGACAGTTTTGAGAAACATAAACTAAAACAAAATCGGAGAAGGAAAAGAGGAAGAAGAAGAATATTGAAGAGAAGGATGAACGAGGAAGAGGAGCAGAAGAAGAACACTAACACTAAATCAATATCACAAAGTACTCTATTGCAATGGACATAAAATTGTGGAAAGGAAAAAGGAGTAAAAGAAAAAGAAAAAGAAGAAGGTGAAGGAGAGGAACAATAAGAAAGAGTAAAATAAAAAAGAAAAAGGAGAGAGGAGCACGAAGAACAGAAAGAAGAATAGAAGAGAAAGAGAATGATGATGATGATGACGAGGAAAAGGGGGAGGTGAAAGAAGAGAAGAATGGAGGAGGATGAGGAAAAAAAGAGGATTTAAAAAAAGAAGTAAAAGGAATAAGAAGAGATACAGAAAAAGGAGCATGGGAGAAGAAAGAGAAGGGGAGGGAGGAAAATTGAGAGGAAGAGGGAGCGAGTGGAAAGAGTAAGGAGGAGAAAAATGAAGAAAGAGTAAAAAAAGAAGAAAAGCACTAAGTCAATATTTCAAAACACTCTTTTACGATGGGTATAAATTGGTGGAGAAGAAGAAAAAAGAGAATGATAGGAATAATAAGAAAAAGGAGAAAGGAAAGAGGAGGGCAAGGAGAAAATGAGAGAGGAAGAAGGATGGAGGAGAAAGAGAATGGTGATATGGAGGAGGAAAATGAGAAATAGGAAAAGGGGGAGGAGAAGAATGAAGGAGGAGCGGGAGAAGGAAAATGAGGATGAGAAGAAACAGAATGAAGGAGAGGGAGGAGGAAATAACCCAAATAATAAGAAAGAGTAGAAGAAAAGAAAGGATAAGGAAGAAGAAAAGGGAGGAGAAAGGAATGAAAATGAGGAGGAAATAGAAGACAATGAAGGAGCATGAGATGTGAAAGAGAAGGAAAATGAGGAAAATTGGGAGGAAGAAGAAGTGAGGAGAAAGAGGAGGATAAGAATAATAAAGAAGATAATGAGAGGAAGAATGAGGGAAGAGAACAAGAAGGATAAATAGGAAGACAAGGATAAGGAGGAAGAAAATGGAAAAGGGAAGAATGAGGAAAAAAGAAGTAGGAGAAAGACAAGAATAGTGACCCGAAAGATTAAAATTTATGGCGACTCTGAGGAATATTGGTGAACTTCAAGAAACAAAAACTAAAACAAAATCAGAAAAGGAAAACGAAAATGGGAAAAAGGAGTAGAAAGAAGGAAAGGGGGAAGGAAAAAGAGGAGGAAAAGTTGAGAAAGATGGAGAAGAAGCAGAGAAGAGAAGTAACTCGAAAGATCAAAATTTAGGGTCAACAAAAAATGCTCAATTGGCCCCTAGAATGATTAATTTTCCTACATTGCTCTTTTAAATAAATAAAAACATTGCAATGGAGTCCACCGTCTTATTTTCGTATGGTCATCCATCTATTTTGTACTAAATCAACCAATCAAGAATCACAAAACGGACGAACGACCTAATGGGAAAAAAAATGAGACAGTTGATCACATTGCAACATTTTTATTTTTTTAAGGAGCAATGTGAAAAATTAATCATTCGGAAGGCAAACTAAAAAATTTTGTATCTCTTAGGGGGCAAAATGGAATTTTTTCCAAAATTTATGACGGCTTTGATCAATATTAGGGAATTACGAGGAATAGAAACTAAAACAGAATCGGGAAAGGAAAAGGAGAAGAATGAAGAAAGAGGAGGAATTGGAGAAGGAGAATAAACAAAGTCAATATTACACCGTACGCTTTTGCAATGGGCATACATTGGTGGAAATGATGAAGGAGAATGATAAGAATTGGAAGAAAGAGGAGTAGAAGAAGAGGGACAATAAGAAAGAGTAGAAGAAAAATGAGGAAGGAGGGAGAAGGAAGAAAAGAGAGGGGAAGAAGGATAGAGGAGAAAGAGAATGATGATGACGAGAAAAAGAAACTGAAGGAGAAGAAAACGAAGTAAAAGGAGTAGGAAGAGGTGAAGAAGATGGAGAAATAGAAGAGGAAGGGGCATGGGAGGAGAAAGAGAACGAAAGGGAGGAAAATTGGAAGGAGTGAGGAGAATGGCACAAGTAAATATTACAAAGTACTCATTTACGATGGGCATACATTGATGGAGAGGTAAAAAAAGGAAAATGATAGTAATAAAAAGAAAGTGGAGCAGAAGAAGATGATGGAGAGGAATAATAAGAAAGAGTTTAAGAAAAAGGAGTAGGGGGAGGAAGAAGTAGAGAGAAGGAAAAGAGGGAGGAGAAGAAATAGACTATGAAGTGATTGATTTGATCATTGAATATTCAATTCTTTCTATAATGTAGAATCGATTCATAAGAATGAAGGAGATGTAGAATGAGGATGAGGAAAAGGAGGAAATAACCCAAATAATAAGAAAGAGTAGAAGAAAAAGAAGGACAAGGGAAAGAAAATAAGGAAAATTGGGAGAAAGAATAAGGGAGGAGAAAAAGAAGGATAAATAGGAAGAGAAGGGAATGGGGAAGAAGGAGAAGAAAAAGGAAAACGAGAAGGAGAAGAAGAGGAGAAGAATAGTTGCTCAAAAGATTAAAATTTATGGCAACTTTGAGGAACATCGGTGAATCGCAAGAAATAGAAACTATAACAGAATCGGAGAAGGAAAAGGAAAAAAATGAGTAGAAGGAAGGAGAGGGAGAAGGAATAAGAAGAGTAAAAGCTGAGAAAGAATGAGAAGAAAAGGACAAGGGAAGTTCCTCAAAAGATCAAATTTAGGGTCAATCCCATTTTCCCCTTGAAAGATACAAAAATTCTTAGTTTGCCCCCAGAATAATTAATTTTCTCACATTGCTCTCTCAAAAAAATAAAAATGTTGCAATATGGTTCACCGTCTTATTTCCATTTGGTCATTCATCTATTTTGTACCAAATCAACCAATCAAGAATTACAAAACAGATAGACGACCAAATGGGGAAAAAAAAAAATGAGACGATGGATCATATTGCAATATTTTAATTTTTTTAAGAAGACAATGTGGAAAAATTAATCATTCGAGAGAGGCACACTGAGAGGTTTTGTATCTTAATAGAGTTTTTCCCAAAATTTATGGTGGCTTTCCGGAACAGAAACTAGAACAAAATCAGGGAAAGAAAAGGGGAAGGAAAAGGAGAAGGAGAAAGAATAGAAGGAAAGAGAAGAAGAAAAAGAAGAAAAAGAATAAAGAGAAGAATGAAGGAGGAAGAGTGAAGAAGAAGAATAACACTAAGTCAATATTGCAAAGAACTCTATTGAGATGGGCATATATTGGTGGAAAGGAAGAAGGTGAAGGAGAGGAATAATAAAAAAGAGGAAGAACGAGGGAGGAGAAGGAACAAAAAAGAGAATAAGAAGGATATAAGAGAAAGAGAATGAGGATGAGGAGGACAATCAGAAAGAAAAGAGGGAGGAGAAAGAGAAGAAAAAGAAATAAAACGATTAAGAAGAGAAGCAGAAGGAGAAATAGAAGAGTTTCGCATAGGCGGAGAAAGAGAAGGAAAAGGAGGAAAATTAGGAGGAAGAAGTGAGGAGAAAGAAGAGGAGAAGAAGAAGAAGAACAAGCAGTAGGAGAATGAAGGAGAAAAAGAAGAAGAAAAATAGCACTGAGTCAATATTACCAAATAATCTTTTACGATGGGTATACATCGGTGGAGAGGAAGAAAAAGAAGAATGATAGGAATAAGAAAAAAGTGAAGTAGAAAAAGAAGACAAAGGAGTAGGAGGAAGAAGGATAGAAGAGAAAGAGAATGATGAAAATGAGGAAGAGGAAAAAAGAGAGAGAAGATGAATGAAGTAGGAGAAATTGAATTAAGGAGAGAGAGAAGGAGGAAGAGGAGGAAATAACCCATATAATAAGAAAGAGTAGAAGAAAAAAAAGAAGGAAGAAGGAAGAGGGAGGAGAAGGATAATGAGAGGAATAGGAAGAAAGAGGAATAGAAGAAGAGGAAGAGGAACAACAAGAAAAAGTAGATGAAAAAGGAGGAAGGAGGAGGAAGAAAAGAGAGGAAGAAGGATAGAGGAGAAAAAGAATGATGAGAACAAGGAAAATAAGGAGGAAGAAAAGAGGGCGGAGAAAGAGAAGAGGAATGAAAAAGAAGGAAGAGAAAAAGAAGTAAAAGGAGTAAGAAGAAATACAGAAGGAGAAATAGAAGAGGAAGAAGGAAAGGGAGGAAGGAGTGAGGAGAAATAGGAGAAAGAAGAAATGGGAGAGGAAGAAGGATGGAGGAGAAAGAGAATGCTGATAAGGAAGAGGACAATGAGAAAAAGGAGGAAGAGCAAAAGAGGGAGGAAAAGAATGAAGGAATGGGAGGGAAAGAAAATGAGCAGGAAATAAAAGAGAAACAAGGACGGAGGAGCATGAGACAAGAAAGAGAAGGAAATAAAATGGTTGATAACATTGCAACTTTTTTATTTTTTTAAGGGGACAATGTGAAAAAATTAATCATTCTGGAGGCACACTGAAAATTTTTGTATCTTTTAGGAGGCAAAATGTAATTTTACCAAAAATTTATGGCGACTTTGAGGAACATCAGTGAATTGCAAGGGGCATACATTGGTGGAAACGAAGAAGAATGAGAATAATAATAATAGGAAGAATGAGGAGTAGAAGAAGAAACAATGAAGGTGAAGGAGAGGAATAATAAGAAAGCATAACAGAAAGAAAAGGAAGGAGGGAGGGAGGAGAAGAGAAAGAAAAGGTGGAGCAGGAGGAAGAAGGGAAGAGAAGGGAAAGAAAATGAGGACAAAGATAAGGAGGAAGAAGGATAGATGAGAAAGAGAATGATGATGAGGAGGACAATGAGAAGGAAAATGATGAGGAAAAGAGGGAGGAGAAAAAGGAGAAAAATGGAGAAGAGAAAAAAAAGAAGTAAAAAGGAGTAGGAAGAGATGCAAAAGTAGGAGAAATAGAAGAAGAAGAAGAAGCGTGGGAGGAGAAAGAGAAGGAAAAGGAGGAAAATTGGGAGAAAGAATGAGTGAGGAGAATGAAGGAGTAAAAGAAAAAGAAGAATAGCACTAAGTCAATATTATAAAATACTCTTTTACGATGGACATACATTAGTGGAGAGGAGAAAAAACGAGAATGATAGAAATAAGTAGATGAAGGAGACGAATAATAAGAAAGAGTGTAAAAAAAGGAGTAGGAGGAGAAAGAAGGAGAAAGGAGAAGGGAAAAGAGAAGGATGAGGAGACAAATTAGGAGGAAGAAGGAGGGAGGAGAAAGAGAATGACAATGAAAGGAAGAGGAGGAAAAGAGGGAGGAGAAAGAGGAGCAGGAAAATGAGGAGAAGAAACAGAATGAAGGAAAGGGAGAAGGAGGAAGAGGAGGAAACAACCCAAATAATAAGAGTATAAGAAAAAGAAAAAGGAAGAGGGATGAGAAAGGAAAGGAAAGAAAATGAGGAGGAAATAGAAGAGAAGGAAGGAGGGAGAAGGAGCATGAGAGGTAGGGGTGTCAAACGTGTCGGGTTAAACGGGTGACGGGTAAAAAATATGTGAACCCGTACACGACACGTTTAATAAACGGACAAAAAATTTCATCACGAACATGACACATTTAATAAATGGATAACATGACATGACCTATTTAATCCATTGAAAAATAACAAAAAAAAAAAAATTTATTTTAACAAATTTTTACACTCTTAATTTTTTTTTCCCAACCACACTTTCCTCAATTAAAGGAGTTACAGCCAGCAATGGTCAGCCATATGACAAACCACACCACAATGTTCAGCCATGTTAAGCCACACCACAGTCCACCTGTTAAGCCAACAACCACCACCTCTTTTATAAGCAACAAAGTCCCTTCTCTCCACTCCACCTGCCAATGTGGAATTCAAAGAAAAAGCAGATCAATGCTTCAACGGCTTAAAGCTTTTGTTGTTTCTTTTTTTTTTTTGAACTGATTTCTTTACTTTTTTTTGTGAAATGTTTTTTTACTTTTTTTTCTTTACTCATTTATTACTATATTAAATTTATTTAAGCAGTTAAACGGGTAATAAACGGTTTGACAGGTTTCACTCGAACACGACCCGTTTATTAAACGTGTTAGGCGTGTCAACCCGTTTATCACCCAAACTCGCTTAATTCGTGTCGATTAATCGTGTCGTGTCGAATTTTGACAGGCCTAATGAGAGAGAAAAAAGAAGAAAAATGAGGAAAATCAAGAGGAATAAAAGGTGAGGACAAAGAGTAGGAGGATAAGAAGGAGAACAAGGAAAACGAGAGGAAGAATGAAGGGGAGAATGAGAAGGATAAATAGGAAGAGAAGGGTGAGGAGGAAGAGAATGGAAAGGGGAAGAAGGAGAAGGAAGGAGAAGTAAGGAGAGGGAGACGGAGAAGTAAGGAAAGAAAGAGGAGGAGAAGAAACGAAGAGTAGTCGCTCCAAAAATTAAAATTTATGGCGACTCTGAGCAACATTGGTGAATTGCGAGAAACAAAAATTAAAACAGAATCAAAGAAGGAAAAGGGGGACAAAGGAGAAGAAAATAAGGAGAAGGAAGGAGAAGGAAGGAGAGGGAGAAGGAGACGAAGTAGAGAAAAGAAGTCACTCGAAAGATCAAAATTTAGAGTCAATATCATTTTGCCTCTAAAAGATACAAAAATGCTCAGTTTGTCCCCAGAATAATTAATTTTTCTACATTGTCCCCTCAAATAAACAAAAACATTGCAATGTGATCCACCATCATATTTTTATTTTGTCTTTCATCTGTTTTATACCAAATCAACTAATCAGGAATCACAAAACCGACGAAGGACCAAATGAAAAAAAAATAAAAAAATAAAACAATGGATCACTTTTTTATTTTTTTAAAGGGGCAATATGAAAAAATTAATCATATGAGAGGCAAACTGAAAATTTTTGTATCCTTTAGGGGCCAAAATAGAATTTTTTTTCAAAATTTATGGCGACTTTGAGGAACATTAGTGAATTGCAAGGAGAAGATACTAAAATTGAATCGAGGAAAGAAAAGGGGAAGGAGGAGGGAGGAGGAGGAAAATCGGGAGGAGAAGGATAGAGGAGGAGGAAGAGGTGGAGAAAGAGAAATAGAAGAGGAGGAAGGCGCATGGGAGGAAAATCGAGAGGAAGAAAAATTAAAAAAAAGAGAAGGAGACGGATAAGGAGGAAGGGGAGAAGGAGGAGAAAGAAGAAGAGGGAGGAGAAAAAGCATGGGAAGAAATTGAAGAAGAAGAGAAGAATAGTCACTCGAAAGATCTATTCTGGATTTTGAGCATCTAATATAACTATACTCAATCCTTTGTCGGCGGGTTAAAGTATTCGATCTTTTATAGTTCCGCTCAACCGAAAAAAAAAAAACTCTCAACTATTGCTTTCATAACTTTTAGTTTGTTTCTGTTAAATAAAACACAATCTGAGTGGCATTGATTCCCGATAAGCCAAGCAGTCGAAGTTTGTGAATTGTGCTACTAAAAAATTACTACTAGTGCAGATTGAAAAAGGAAAACCTAGATGAAGAACCCTGATAGAATCACATACCTTTTTCCATTGTGAGCAGTATGTTCTATCCAGTCTGATGGGGCCTTTTCAATGATGCAAGGCTGAGCCATTGTCGCCTGAAATTCGACAAGATGCAGATGTTATTAAGCATTCTATGCATTCAGCATAGAAATGAAATTGCAAAGGAGCAAAGAAAATTTTCCATAATGTAGAAAAAGATGCAAACAATTATATGTAGAGTACTCTTACTGGATATCTGGCACTGAGTTGTGATATCTGAATTCACTTGTAGTTGGCCACTGGATGACAGGGATAACTGAACAGATGAATTTAGTAAAGTTAAGGGCCGAAGACATTGTCAGATGGGTGAAGCAGTCAACCAACGTGCTTAAAAATATTACATTACATGCTGAAGAGAGAGCCATTCTTGGATTGTCTAAACCAGGTGTATAGTTTTTGGAAACTGAGAATTTTGTGGAGGCTGTGGATAGGTATTTGGAATTTGAGCATCTTGCTAAGGTGTTGAGAATAGTAATTTCAAATCTGAGCATTTTGATGAGGTTCTGATGGAACAGGCATAACAGGCCTATTTGCCTGAACTTCTACCACTAGAATTGGATGTGGTGCCTGTGGCGGTGGCAGAACATGTCCTGCCTGACCGGGCCATGGAGGATGCTACAACACCAGTTGAGAAAATTCGAGTTGCTAAGTGTGAAAAGGCATTCCAACATTTGCCCACCCAACCGTCTGAAATTGTTGATAAGCCACTAGAATATATGGCGGTGCCTGCTGTGCTCGAACAGCAAGTGTTCCAGCACGATGGAACTGCAGCAACATTTAGTTTTAAAAACAATAATGGGTTCCGATAAACATAAGATAACGCAAGCAGGTCTCAAACGATTTAGGAAGAACAAAAATCCTCACATAGAGCATCAGTTCATAAAAGGATTATGCACGTTCTATTTAAGTTAGAGCTCACTTGAACTCTTAGAGTCCATTGAACCGAAGCTGTAATGGGACTTTGAAAAATCAAAAGGCTGATGACAACTCGAGATACTTCAGGCATGAGCACAGAGATTCGTATGCAAACTATTAAGACATGTAGAAAAACCCACTGTAACATGAGAGAAAAGTTCTCGATAAGTCATTCTCAAATTAATTTAACTTATTAGTCATGTTTATGTTTATGTTTATGTTTTACCCCCAAAGCACCAACCCCCACCAGTTAAAACAGCAATAGATATATAAATGCAGCAATACCTGAAAAAGATAATCATTCTAAAACCAAATGCAGAATGCTCCTAAAACCATTCAATCCTCGTGGGAAACGATATAGATTTACTTTGAGAAAAGGAGTAAATATGCAAGGTAACGGCAATAAGAAATGGATGCCAATAAATGATACAAAAGAAGAGTAAGAAGATTGAGTTTGATGCAACCCTTATTTGTCACTACTTTTAGGTACCTTGATAGGACATCAAATAAAAGATTAGGAACTAAAATTTTAGACCATTCCAATGAAAATTAATAACATTAAAAGTGGTTAAATTCAGGAACAGAATGAACACAAATTACAGAGATTAGAGATTAGAGATTGAAATAATACCGGATTTACACCAATCTCCATATAATTTTGCTGGTAGAATGGCAAACTAAGGATTCAAAATATATGTCAGATACTCATAAAAAATCATAATATCTTACTATATCATCCAACAACAAGGATCATGAGCACACCTCTTTCTATAGAAGCTATTGAATCATTGATTAGCAAGAGATTTAACTCGACTAAACAATCCAAACAACTCGTTCACCGCAATATTTGTATGTTGATGAGGTATGCTTTTGAATGCTTAATATCCAAAACCACCTCAAATAAAAGACTATTAACTAACATTTTTAGAATAGTCAAAAGAAAATTAATAAC